CTTCGAATACGCCCAGGTGGGAAGAAAGGCTTAATTGGAGCGAACGGAACATCATCCACGACTACGCGGCTACGCGTCTAGCAGCGGCACCTTTCCCCTTTCTCCTATTCTCGGAGTATGTGCAAAAACATTTTCTTTTTTGAAGAACCGGCATTGATGAATTTCAGAGGGATCTTCGAAATCTACTATAAAGATAAATCCTCTCCTGCATATCCTGTCACGAAGGATCAGATACACTCAGCATCACCATCAAAAGACGATCAAGTGAGTATTTGAATGAGGTCACTAAATTTTGGAACAAGGCTGGGATGGCTTCCTTCATTAGGTTGTCCGGAAAGTTCTCAGCGTTTTGTGCACCTATTTTTTGTACATTCACTGCTGATTAAAAACTCATTCTGCCTTGCTTCTCAGTAGCACATCCTGTAGAGAATTTCTTGCGCTATCTGATGGTATAATTGCCGTTTCACCACTGCTCGACAAGCCCCCTTTTTTCAAGATTTTTTCAAGCATGTGAAAAGAGTAGCACTCGCGGACGATTTTTTTTACTATAAATTGGGGCAATCCGCAATCGAAACAGCTCAACAAATTAACCAGGTGTGGGGCCCAATAGTGCTAGAGAAAGCACTGTGCGGCAATGGCTCAACAAATTTCGTTCTGGAGATTTCAGCTGAAGGTGAACCTCATAGGTTCGACTCAAAGCAATATTGACGAGGATTTTAGGGGATTTTGGAGGCTGACCCATCCCAAACAGTTCGAGAGATAGCAGAAGAGCTAGGCCTTGGCAAATCCACTGTTGCAGATGGTCTGGAACGCATTGGGAAGGTGAAAAAACTCGACAATTGGGTGCCCCACAATCGGAGTGACCGGCAGGAATCGGCACGTCTCGAGGTTCCTTCTGCATTGCTTTTGCGCAGCAGAAACGACCTGTTTTTGGGCCGAATTGTCACCTGTGATGAAAAATGGGTCATGTATGATAACAGGAGACGTTCCGGACAGTGGTTGGATTTCGACGAACCACCGAGGTAATTTTCAAAGCCGAACCCTCACGAAAAAAAGATTCTGGTCACGGGTTGGTGGTCATCGGCTGGTGTGATCCACTATAACTTTTTATCACCAGGCCAAACCATCACAGCAGAACCTACTGTGAAGAAATCGACGAATTGTACCGAAAATTTTGTCAGATGCAGCCAACACTTATCAAAAGAAAGGGTCCGATTCCTTTGCATGACAACGCCCGCCCACACGTTTCACAAATCACTATCCATAAATTGAACGAATTGGGGGTTGAAGTTCTACCTCAACCGCCATATTCTTCAGACCTTTCGCCAACCGACTATCACCTTTTCTAACATTTTCAGAACTCCCTTGCTGGAAAATACTTCATCAATCAGGACCAGGCAAAAAAGCCTTAGTGGACTTTCGTGAATTTTCGACCACCCAGTTTTTCACTTTGATGGGATTTCTCGACTGCTGTCACATTGGCAAAAGTGTGCTGATTCGAATGGTGCCTATTTCGATTAAATCCGATGAGTATTAAAAAAGTTACGATCGTTTAAAGTGAAACACCCAAAACGCTGAGAACTTTCCGGACAACCTAATAGAATCGTGTGGTGAGGAACGTTTTACGTTTCAGAAGGAACCAACTTCTACGACTGCTCTCTCACCTGGGATTTCATGAAACCCAGAATGGTAAACACTCTGCTATTCCGCACGATCGAAGACGGAAACGATTCCACGGTAGGCGATTCCGCCGGTGGTGCGAAGGCCCGAACTCTATAACTATCGTGCCTTTCACAAGCGTCGTCTTACCCATACGGCAGGGGCAAGCAATTTATTAAGATGCCGGGGATCATGAGTCGTCTCGCCCACATCTACAGCTGCTCCTGTCTTTGAAGGGTCTTGCTTTCTGTTTTGTACCAGCGTCCTGCAAGAGGCGGAGGGGAGCAGAGGGGGGGCGGAGTGGCTGGCATGGTGCCCTTGAAAAAGGATCTTAACCGTAATATAGGACACTGAGAAGTCCCTTAATCTGTAAGCAAAGACGCAGGACCAAGGTTACTATCCATATCCCGCGCCATAGAGGGCCAGAACGTCGGAGTGCATATTCCACCCATTGATAGGGGACGGAACGAAATCCTCCCATACGAATGAATCTCCTGGACGGCACCCAGCCAAGTCATTCATTTTTATATACCACTTCAGGCAAGTGGTGACTTTGAAGGGATTTTCCCTGTGAGAATGATGGATCTGTTTTAGGCAAGACACGTGTAGCAGCAACTGCTGCACCGCCTTCGATTGCACCAACTGCACCGCCGTCAACTGCCCCAGAACCACCCTCCATTCCTACAGGCGCTTCGACTGCACCTGAAGCGAAGTCGTCTGTAGAAAGTGGTCGTGAATCACCCGAGGGTGGTTCTGCTATGAACGGGTCTAAGGAAACAGAGGGAATTCAGGGAGAAAACAGTCAATCGGCGGGAAAGAACAGCCATGAAATGCAGATCCATGAAGAGCTTAAAAACGCCGGTTCCCATGCGGAAATGAAAGCCAGTGGAGAGCAGTATGAGAAGGGGACCGATGAGGTTGAATCGGCAAGGGCCTCCATGAACACCCAAAGTGGTTCTGCCCCGAAAGTTGATCATTCTGGAAAACAAGTAGAGGCTGAGGAAGCGTTTGACAGGTCCGTAGCCGAGAGTGATGCTGCTGAAGACAGTAACAGTTCGGAAGATGCTGATACCACATCAAAAGGGGATAACGATGAGGAAGAGTACGAGTCCGAGAAGGGTGATTACTCACCAGAAAGGACAGGGAGTGCGGAAGAAGGGGAAAAGGAGGCAGAAGGACAATCTGAGGAGAGCGAGGAAAACACTCCCGAAGATAATCAAGGAAAAGCCTGAGGAATTTGAGGGACCTGAGGACAGTGAACAGGGGAGAATGGGCGCAGCCGTAGATGTGTCAGGAGAAGATGAAGAGCACAAAAAATCCTCTGTAGTAATCGGACAACCGAAACAAAATACTCTGAAATTGGAAGGGATGGAGGCCATTGACTCTGGGCCAGATAAAGAGAACAGGTACACATCTGGAAAGCACACGCCAGATGAGAATGAAGTACAGAGTGCAGGCATGAAACCAATGGTAGTTCCTGGAGTAACGGCACCGATCAAGAATGGCTCGGAAAGGAAAGTTAGTCGGGCCAAGAACGATCAAAAGGATTCAGTGTCTAATTCTGGGACAAACGAGGGCTCCAAACCAGCTCAGCATCGGAGTACGGAAATCGTGAAATCAGGCTATGAGGTGATGAACCCTATGGACGCACAGAAGGGCACTCAAGGAACCGAAGAAGCGAACGGAGCCGATAAGAAATCTGCGACTGGCAGCACTAAATCGACCTCAGAAGGTGAGTATCCAGCACTTTACAAACATTTTTTTGTAGACTATCCTTGAGACAAGTCGGAGATCGTTCAAGCGCTTCCACTGATTGTAAGATACACATTTTTTGGGGCAGGAAAGTAAGTTTTGAGCATCGCTTAGGCTAACCCGGATCATTTTCATCCCTGTAAGTTTCAACCCAGCTCTTCATCAGTCGTCATCTCAACCTATACTCAATGCAGGTGTCGGCAAGATTTCGCAAGGCGTGGCGATTAAATCGGGAGGGATCGAACTCGTGACCTGTCGTGGTTCAGAGGCAGTCGCCCTTCAAACCCCTCAAAACACGACGCATCGAGATGGTTCAGAGCCCCGTGAGTCCCGAATCCAGGAAC